ACCATGTTACCTGCATGATCCCCGGCATCCTATCCAACGGGTGAGGCGGCCACCACTGCCAAGTCGGCCCCCAAGCCCACAGAGGCGGCATGTGGTTCTTTTTCTCTTTTTTCTGGGGGTGCTATCTCGGGGCACTCTCTGGCGCTGGGTTCTGCAGGGCAGCTGAAACATCCAATGTAGGATGCCCTAAGCGCCCAACATGCTTGCCTTCCGCTGAGACTTGGAAAACTTGACAGTGCAACACACGAAGCCCTAGCCCGAAACGAGACTCCGGGCCACTCGAGCTTGCCAGGTCTCGAGGCCTGCGGCCTCGGCGGAAAGCCAAGGCCCACGTAGAAAGCCGATGGCGGCATGTTGTAGGCATTTGGTAGGCATTTTGCAAGCATTTCCCCAAAGAAGAATCCAAGGGGGGAGCTCAGACCCCCTTGGGCTCCTTTGTTGACAAGCCGTGACATGTCAAGGTGTTTAGCAGCAAAACAGCTCAATAGCATTTAACACCATTGTTCCCAACATGCTGCCCGAGATAGACTCCGCCAGGGAGCGATTGTAAGAGCTAGACATACCGGGTAAAAGACCAAGATACGCCACCCCCAGCTTGTGCAGTCACGGCTGTCTGTTGTTTTTTAGTGGAAATGGAGAGAGAGAAAGAGCGAGAGAGAGTGAGAGAGAGAATGATGCATGAAGGGTTCATACCTTGTTTTGCGGTTTAGGGTTTGGGGTTCTATTACCTTGTCTAGCTGTACTTGAGTTTGGGGCCTCGCGGTGTAGAGTTTCAGTTTGGAGCCTCAGAACTGAGACAGGTCTAAGCTCCAGGTTTGATTCTAGGGCGCCCCGAGTCTAACATTCCAGCTTTGTTGTCTCAACTCGAAGGCTCCAACGCAAGGTTTAGAGCGGTAGACCCGAGGCAGAAAATCTGGAGCCCTGGAGTTGAGGCAGAACATTGCGAGCTTTAGACTTTTGGCTGAGATCAGAAATCTGGAGCCTCAGAGTTTGGACAAAACATCAAGCCTTCGAGTTGAGACACGACATCTGGAGCTTCAGACCCCTTGGCAAAGAACTGGAGCACGTGTGGCACACCCGCACGCGCGGCGCAGCACGAGCACACACGCACCAAACCCTACCCGCCCGCACGCCTTCACATCTGCACGTTCGTACTTGCACGCGCTTGTGTACGCACGTGCACTGCTCACAGCTGACGCTTAGTTGTGCCGCGACCTTGCAGGTGGCGGATTGCCCACTGCATTGGCCTTCATCTCAGGTTTGGTTTTCGGGGCACATTTGAAGGGCTGCAAAGGGTTTAAAGAGGGATGGAGCAAGTTCACGTACTGGCCTTGCTTGCCACAGGGTTTGACGTGCCCATTCGTTCAATTGGAGACAGCTGTCGGACCCGATTATCCCAGACCCTACGAAGCAGCTCAAAAGGATGCTGACAGAATGCAAAGGTTGAAGTCGCACGCCGAACCAATCTAGCTGCTAGCTCGTCTCTTTGGAGAATCAGCCTGCTGGTCGGCCGCAGATTACCGACCTGCGGTGCGCAGTCGCACCGGCTCACTACCTGAGCCCCAAGTCAGAATCAACAAAGAGCATGGTATGCCAGAATGAGGTTATCTCACTTTCCATCGCCACCGCAGCCGCCGTTGCTGGCGCTGTCTGGCCGCCCACCCAGCGCAGGGCTTCTGACTGCTCCCCCTCGAAGTGCAGACCGGAAAGGTGTGGTTGGAAATAAGATCTCCTTTGAAGGCGGAAGCAAGCCTAAAGCCCTAAGTGCCCCAAACGATCACCTCTACAGGAATACGGAGGTGCCACCTGGCATGTTTGCTTGGGCACCACAAAAACTTTCGTGAGTGCTCTGCCTACACCTGCAAGCAGCTGAGGAGCAACCACGGCCGCAACAAAGTGGCGCTTCCTTCCAAAACAAACTGCATCTCATATATGTTCTGTGGTTCCGGCGCATATTTTTTTGCCCTTCACAGCAAGCTAGCCGTTAAGAAGTGGTGCCTGTTTTGGTGTGAACATTGCGATCTAGAAATGAAGGACGCCCAGCCAAACAATGTAACAAAGTCGTGTGGTTTTGACTTGCTCAAGAGAAATGGCACTGTTGAGTTGCAACATTGCAGTCTCAAAACACAGCAGTACCACTATCAGCTTATTCAGCATGCACGTCTTGTAACAAAATGGCACTGTCTTCTCACGCTGATCTTTAAGATTCTATTGAAAGCATACGTGGATTTTCTCCGCAGGATTGAGTGATTCTTTGCCTTGGGTGGTCTGAGGTTTAGGGTTTAAGCTTTAAGGTTGAGAATTGCAAAGCTTTGCCACTTCCAAGAATTCTCTGCAGCAGGGGCGGTGTGTTCGGGCATGACTATTAGCACTCTCCGGGATACCCCGGGGGCCGCCAGCTTATGTCTGTTGGTCTGCACAGCAGGGAATTGACGGGTCCCGTGGGCCGCCACAGGAAACCAGGCCAACATGAAGGGAGAGAAAGGGATCGTGGAGACACTGGCTTCCACAAAACGTCCAACTTGGTGACAGGTAAAGAGAGATAAGCGGAACAGGATTGACGGGAAACTCGTCTACTGTTTCCCAACAAAATCGTCAAGGCACGGGTGCTTGAGTCGTGAATCGGCGCGGGTGTTTCGGCAATTTGGGTGTGTTAAATTCGAGGTGCGTGGTGGGTTTGGTTGGCGTGGTGTGTACTTGTCGCGGGTTTGTGATGTGATGACCAGCAATGAGGCTTTGGCGACAAAAGAAGCGATGAGCTTTCTGAGAGGGTCTCTGCAAGCCCGGCTCAATGTTTTCCGCATGTGAAGCCGGCAACCCTCGTCACCAGAACCCAAGCTGTGAAGCTTATGGCCATGAGGAAACCCGAAAGGCCGAGTACGAAAGTTTAGGGTTGAGATTGGGGTTTCGGGCTTGAAACTAGTTAAGGGTTTAGCATTAAGCGCTGTTTCTAAGGGGCAACGTTGGCCGTGATAGCGTGAGCACCTCTACTGTTTCTGCTGGACTATCAATCAGACAACTGAAGCCCTGTAAAGTGTTATCATGCTCGTCGGATGCCGCAGTGGCTCTCTCACCCGATATGTGTCATGCCATGTTTCAGCAGGTACTTGTCGCGAGCAGTCTTTGAGTTCAGGGTTTGCTATCAACAATCTCGCACACTCCCAAATTTTCTTACTGTCTGAAGTCGCGGACCACAATCCTGCACAAGGCTTATGCCTTTTCATCGCTACTGCTGAGAACCATGGCCCCCACACTTAAGACCATCTCTTGAACCCCCTGCAAAAACCCACAGCCCCTTCGCCGCGCTTCGCCGGCTGAAGCTGTTCCAACTTTGCACGGCTCTGCCTCTCTGGCGATGTTTTGCGTGGTGTCATGCAGTGAACAGTTTCTGTAAGGAGTCGGTTGTGTGCGTTATTTAGCTTTGGTGGTCTGCTAAGGTTTATGTAAGACCGGGCTCACGTCACTGCATTCCGTGATGTTTCGAATCGGACCAAACATACGTGCACATCCTTCTGAGTTTCTTTCTAGGTCTCAGTCTCTGAAATGTGACATGAAAGTGACCGAGCGATGTGCAACTCCACAATGGCAGAGCTTTGTGAGCAATTGCACGGAGAAAGCAGGCAGCTCAACAGCGGGGGCTTGAGGTTTAAGGTTTGCACGGCCTCCCTGCCTGAAGAAGCTCTCATCGCCGTGTGCCAGAGAACTTTCCTGGCCACTTCTCGTAGTCCTTCTGACTTCTGTCTGTAAGTTATCTAAAGAATTTTGTTGTATCAGGTGAACTGCAAACACTGCGACGTGTCCTTCACCCCCCCCCCCCCCATCCCCCGTGCCTGTTGACAGGCAGCCATGTGAAGCATAGAAATCCCCTCAGAATGCTTAAACTATCCTGACGCCCGAAATCGGCAACTCTCTCATTGGGGGTGATTTAGGTGTAGGGCTTAGGATGTACAATTGAACCTGCCCTCTGGATGAGCTGCGGGCATACTGCCATTAGCCGCCTGATTTGCAGTCCGCCCTCACCAAGAATTTAAAGGTCGCCACACCTTGACTTCAACGACCTCAAACCACAGAATTGAAGTTGTATCAGTGACTGGGGCGTGGGATCTGTTCTTGGCGCGGAAGCCTGTGTGTTGCGCGCAGGTCAGGAAAATGATGTCATGCAGAGTGGTTCTGAGTTTGGGCTTCGGGAGTCTTCAGGTTCCATGGCAGCTTGCAGTGCAGTTCCTTGACGTGTGCTTGTGGAAGGCCTACGCTTCACCCAGACCGACTCGAGGGGTAAATGCCAGCCAACAGAATTCCAGCTGTTCTAGGGAAGTCCGAAGTCTGACGCAAGTCAGCCAAGCTACATCCAAACGTCCTTCAATCTTAGCTGCCTTACTGTAGCTTTCGCCTTCAGCCCTGAAAGTCTGAGTTCTGTGCTCCGCGGTCCGCCCCCTTGAAAAGCCAACAGCCCTGGAGCCTCGTCAAGTCCATCTGCGCGTAGAGTGAGCCAACAACTTAGGCATGCAGGCATGCGCGTGTGACGTTCTCTGCCGTAGTTCAGTCTTTCAAGGTGGTTTGCGGGCTAATTTGTTTGTTAGGCTCCTGGCTTCCTACCAGGCGGAACTTTCCAAAGTGGTCGGTGTAGCTTCAAGACCTAGAGGGCGTGTAGGAGATGGGGAAAGGTTTGGAGGCTAGGCAAGAGATTTCAGGGTACACTTGGGCGCCGTCGAGATGTGGTTTCGAGCGCCATCAATGATCTTAAAGCTTTGCCAGCTTCCGTCTGCAGATGAACGTTCATGGAATCTTGCCCCTAAAAGCCTTGGGCTCCAAACCCAAGACTCCAAACCCCAAACCCTAAGCCACAACAACCAAACCTTAGACTTGAGTTGTAGCTCTTCGTCTGGGCCCAACGCCGCCATGCCTTCCGCCACGCAGAGGCCGCTCATTTGTATTCTTTTCGCGTTCGTGAACGGGTCAGCCGGAGATTAGCTGTTGAGTTCGGTCCTTTTGGTTCGGGAATGGGTCTGAATCGGTTAGAGGTTCTGGCTGTGTCGATTTTCCGGGCTCTGACTCTGAACAGGTCCCATGTCCACGGGCACCTTGCAACCAATTGTGCTTAGTCGCCATGTGATGGGCCTGTCGCCCAAGTGACCCAACGCTGACAGGCTGTTGTTGCAGCTGGCCGCAGCCTCAGACAGGAAATTGCACACCTTAAATCTTTCGACACCCCCCCCCCCCCCCCCACCACTACTTGAGAATCGAACAGCCCAGGCTGTGTCCAACAGCTGCGCAAATGCCTGAATGCTGCAAACGGTTAAGAACACAGACAGGCTTCAGGGCGGAGCTTGTGAGTCGGGCCCATTTACATGTATTTTGGCATATTTTGGCGCTTCTGGGCTGCCCTTTTTTGTCTATTGCCTATGCATCCACCGAAATAGATGTTTGAGGCTAGCTACCTAGAAACTCCCCCAAAGTGAGAAAGATGAAGAGGTTCACGAAGGGGGTCAGAAGCGCAGAAGTCGCTCAGAAAGCTGTAGCCTCTCAGGGCCGTTGCATCCATGCTAAACCCAAGCCAAACCGCTTGCGCCCAAGAAATTGCCAGAGGCCATTCGGCGACGCGCCGGCGTTGGCGTGCGACGAATTGCTGTCCGGTACCAGGATGTACCAGGTAGAGGGGTCGACAGCTTTAAGAGGGCGTTATGACAGATCCAAAAGGCCGCATCCCAATCCGAAATTCTCCTTTCGCGAGGCCCGAGCATGTGAATGTGCTCTTGTGGAGTCAGGACTTGGGACATCAGGGCTTCGGCTAAGGTGCTTGGTTCAGGGTTCAAGCTGAAGAGTAAGGGTGTTCACGGTCTTGGAAGCTGAATCCTGGATTGAATAGTCTCTGCCTTGGTAAAACTGCTTTAGGCATCTGTGGAGTTCTAACTGAGACTATCATCCTTTAAACACGCCCTCAGAACCTCATGCTGCAACCCACACCGACCAACGACCATCACCTGCAGAGCTCCGGAGATGCAAATTGTCAGATGTCCCTGAGCCCAGAGAGACCACCAGAACTCTGAAGGCCCACACACCCTAAACCCTAAACCCTAAACCCTAAACCCTAAACCCTAAACCCTAAACCCTAAACCCTAAACCCTAAACCCTAAACCCTAAACCCTAAACCCTAAACCCTAAACCCTAAACCCTAAACCCTAAACCCTAAACCCTAAACCCAAACCCTAAACCCTAAACCTAAACCCTAAACCCTACCCTAAACCCTAAACCCTAAACCCTAACCCCTAAACCCTAAACCCTAAACCCTAAACCCTAAACCCTAAACCCTAAACCCTAAACCCTAAACCCTAAACCCTAAACCCTAAACCCTAAACCCTAAACCCTAAACCCTAAACCCTAAACCCTAAACCTAAACCCTTCTTGGTTTGCTAGGGGAAAGCTGGGCCGAGGCATCTGCAGAGCTCGATGCCGATCGCTCGGCGCCGAGGAGACAGGGGGCGGTTTTGGCTCGGGCTGGTTCGGCCCTGTCTGAACAGTCCAGCTAGATCGGCCCAAACCAGATGAAAAGCCATGTTCGGTAGTGAATTTGGGTTTAGTTTATGGATTGTATTTATGGGAAATGCCTTCATGTATCAGAATTGTCAAGGGTTGTGCTTCTACGAATTAGATACTAGGTGCTCCAAGTTTAGAATGTATTTAATTGAGTTGGTCTGACTAAAAAGTCGAAATTGGATGTCAACTAACCATCATTGTTGAATACTACGTCAAAGGCCATGAAAATTGGAAGAGAATAAAGGAGAGCTTTGCAATTTCCGATAATTTCCGTATGTAAGATTAGTATAAGTAGCGTCATCATTATAACTCGCTTCTGCTTGTGCTAGCCTGGGAGAATTAATTCGATTAAAGGTATTGTTCTTTTTGCGCCCTATTCATGAAAGTGTTCAAGACACTTTTTTTCTAAACTAGAGGTCATTTGCGTCGACATCAAAAAATAAACTAGACACCAAATCCAAAAGTGTGTGTGGAGGAGCAGAGCGCGAAAGTTCCGGCGGGGACTACAGCCGCGGGACCTTGTGGGAACGCCAGCGTGTGCAGAAGGAGCAGAAACGCCCCCCAACCCCAAGGATCCGGTCCAGGAAGCGGCTGGGGTCACCATCGACCCACCAAATGTCCACGTGCTGTTTCTGCAGCAGGAGCTCTTCTTCGAGAGCTGGTGGGCGCAGCTGGCCGAGAAGAAGCCCATGGGCCTCGCCCAGCGCTGTCTGCTTGACTTCGGGGTGGAATTGACCACGTCCAAGCGACGGGGCCATCCAGGTGTGGAACGTGCGGCGGAGCGTTGCTGCCCTGGGGCAGGGGCTGCAATGTCCTGGCCGCGGGTGCAGAATGCTCCCTTTGGCCTCCGACGTGCCCGAACTTCGCCGCATAACTTCATCCGGTAACTTTTCCCTGGTGGCCTTGACGGAGGCCTTCTGCCAACACCTGCAGTGGGCTGGCGAGGCCCTGGCGCAGGATGGACACGCAACGGCGGATCTCCTGGATCGTGTGCTGCACCTCCTCCTACGCGAGCAGCTGGTTGTGGGTGATCCCTCGACCTACCCACCGGCTGTGTAGGAAAAAAACAAAAGGCTCCTTTGCCTGCAGCTTGCCCTTCCTTGTTGGCAGACTTGCCGGCGCTGTCTGTGCTGCAGCCGATGTGCACTGACGCGCTGGACCTGCAACGTGAGTATGTTCTGGCAGGCGATGGCCGAGTGCGAGCTTCGGGCCGGCGCCACGCTGATGTGTATAGGCAGCTTTTTTTTGGTGTTTTGTTTTTGTTTTTTTCTTTCTGTTTGGGTTGGGGGGGTGGGGCGCAGGTTGTTTACGCAGTTGCGCTCTTGGGCGCAGGTTTCTTACGCGGTCGTGTGTTTTTTCTCTCTTTTTTTTTCTTTCCTCCGGCGCACTTGGTTTACGCTCATGGGCTTTTTGTCGGCGCAGGTTGCTTACGCAGATGCGGGGATAACGCCTGACAGCGTGGTGTCCTATTTCTGCTGACTTGGACCTGCGCGCATCAACGCCCTCTTTGCCTGTACGCAAATTCTGTCCGCAGATATATTGCTCGTGCCAGCTATACTGCCTGCCTAGGTATGGTTCAGTACTGCCGTCGGCAGGGCTGCGGGGTCAGGCTGAGCAACGCCCGCGTTCGGGCCGGCCTGCACACCTGCGCAGTGGGCAACGGCTAGAAGCAGAAACGCCTGCCCAGCTGCGTCGCGCTGTGCCTCCGGTGCGGGAGGCCCGCTGCCGCCGCGCAATCTCTGCTGTCCTACTTCAGGCCCTTGCACAAGGCTCCGCGCACCCCCAAGCCCCGACTGCCCCGCCCCCCTCACTCGCTTGCCCTGCTAACGATGCCTTTGAAGAGCAACGGCCGCGAGGTTGCCCAGCTACTGCAGTCTTACTCAACCTGGCGCTTCGGCGCCGGGTGTCGGATGCTGCTTACCGCTACTTGGGCTGGTGGCATCGCTGGGACAGAAGCCGCGTGCTGGAACGCTCTTTTCTCGCACGGAAGGAGACCACTGGACGGCGCTGCCCACCACGTGGCGGTTAGGATCTAGCTGCGGACGGCGCGGGCTCGGCAGGACCGCCGCAGCATCCGGGGCGCCCTGGAGAAGTGTCTACTAGACCCTGTGCAGAGCCTCTGTGAGGTGCTGACTGCACCCTGTCCCTTGGCCGGGTGCTCCCGGGGCGCTCTGCCAGTCTGAACTCCAAGCGGAGGGGCAATGACGGTTATGGAGCCCCTGAGATGCCGGGAGGGATGGCGCCTCAGGCACGGCACTGCTTCGAGCAGGTGCCAGCACTCACTCACTCACTCCAGCATTGTCTAAGATACAAGAAAGACGCGGAAGCTATCTGCTCGCAATAGTCTCGGCTGTCGATGACAGCGCTGACGGTGCTGCTGTGGATTAACAACAATCCGTGAACATCAAAAACACCAAAGTACCAAGAATACCAACAACTACTCAACATGCAAATAAGCTGGCCCGTAGGCTGTTTGTTTTGTTTTCACTTTTACACACTGCTTATTCTTTGTCTGGCGCCAAAACCTTTGCTTCGCAGCCTCTGAAACCCCCAAAAGCCAAAAACACATTTTTGCGTTTCTAAAACCCTCAACTGCAAAGACACGCAAACCCAGATCATCACCTCGGCGCCCGCAGCGAATTGGAACATGCTCATTGCGCCAAAGCAGCAGATTCTGCTTGACGGGACTCCCGAAAGCGTGCGACACAGAGATGCGGGGAGCGCACCAACCCGGCCTCTAGCGGCGTTACGGCGTGCCGCAGCGACAGCGGAGGTGAAGAACTCACGCAACCCTGCGTGCGCAGAAGGTTTTCAAAGTTGTGCGCTTTCTCTTCAACGCCAGAATGCCGGCCATGCTGCAGCGAGCGGAGCACATGCTGTCGACCGTGCGGGCAGTGCCTTGTCTCCGCCGTGGACGTCCGGCTGGGCGCGGAGACTTTGCGGACGGGATGTCGGCCAGCCAGTTGCCTGCGTCAAGCTTCAAACGGATCGCTTTTAGCAGGCGTTCTGGGGGGTTCGGAGGCTTGAAAAACAAAAACACGTTGTCATTCAAAATCAAGAAACATTTTTGATGTGGCATTTTTGAGGCCTGAAGCCAAATAATGGGTCTGTTTGGTTTTTACAAACAAACGCCGTGTAGCCGTCGAGCCACAACATTTTGGTTTTTTGGTTGTTTTCAGGGCTGGCAATACAAAGACAGGCAACTGATTTGCTATGTAATGTAAGCCACTCACTCGGAAATCATCTTCATGGCATCACCTCGCCCCAAAACCAAACAAAAACTTGCAACCTTGTACTTGCTTCGTTTCTATTGGTAAAAGCATGTAAAAGCCAGAGTAAAGGATGGCTTTTACTTTGTGGTTTTCCTGACCCGAACAAGTTGTTGTTTTCCATTCTGGGGTTTCGGAGGCTTGAAACACCAAAATGACCTTATTCTTGGTTGATTAATGGAAACCAAAACCACCGCATAATTAAAAGTGCCAAGCCAGTAAAACAGCCTTCGGGCCGAGCTACCTTGGTCTTGGCATATTTGCTTTGTGGTTTTCAAATGTGACACGCAAGACACCATCCCTACAAAGTATATCAAAAACACTTATCATTCTGAAGCACTTAGTTAATGCGAAATCTGACTACCACTGGCTTCGAAGAGAGAAGTTTAAGTTCAAGGTCTTGGATCTTGTGGGAGAAGGGGGTGGTCATGTACAAAAAACGTATTAAAGGCTTTATGTATTGGCAGTTCAGGGTTCGGCATCACAACGTTCAGGTCCTGCAGCTCTTATAGTCTTTGCGCGGGCCTTACACAAGGACCCGCATAAAACTGCGCCGGGAATCCTGAATTCGAAGCTCCGAAGGCCTGGGCGACTGGCTAAACATGGCATGGGCCGCCTGTAGCACGATCTTATATCAGTTTAGACTTGTAGAACTTGGGCAACCGAATATTGCAAAACCGTTGATCCTTGACAAGAGTCGAAAGTGCGGCTTAGGTCTGGCATTGAGGCTTCGCCTGGGTGACGGCCGCTGGGAGTTGGAAATCCAAGGTTGATTCTGGGATTCACGCTGATTGTGAGATGAAGCGTCGGCTTTGCCATTTTGCTGGGGACGGGACATGCACGGGGTCCCCTCGAACCAGAAGCTGGGAGAGGACACCTTTCCATCTTATCCCAAAGATGGCTGAAGGAACCTGAAGCCTATTTTACGGTGCTTGAAGCCCCAAAAAAGTGAAACCGCTTTGCATTTTGGAGTTTCAGCGGTCTCGGGCGGAGGTGTGTCATCTGTGGGCTTTGAAGCCTGAACATTTAATGGCCTTTGCCACTTCTTTGCTCGAGCTTATCAGGCCTCGAATTTTTCGTGTAGAGGGCTCCGAGAAGCTGTGTCCCCTGCTCCCACACCCACGAACCACTCTGACCATGAGACTTCAAGGTCCACGAAACCCCTAAGCCCATGTCCGTACCAAGCTGCGGGGCATAGACCACAATGCTGGAAGTCGTTCACTAATCTTGCAAAAGAGGGCGAAGAAGCGACAATCCAGCTCAATCGTCCCGAGACAGTGATTCGAAGTTGTAATAAATGAGCCCTAAACCCTGCAGCTTGGATTGTGTTGTCCTCCTACTCTTTTTGGGATGTCAAACATGCATGGCACGCGTGATCTGAGATTGGAAAGAAGTTCTTGGTGCGGCCAGCAAGGACCCAGAATATAGATGCAGTCGCTGTGGCCTTGCCCAGAACCTTGCGCAGCAAAGAAAGAAGAAGAACACATACTCCCTCCCCCCATGATATAGGAGTGATATAGGGGTTGAAGGGGTTGGTTTCGGCATGCGTGCGTTCATAATGTTGGGTCTCTTGAGGTGAGGGCCTTGTCATTTGAAGGCCAGCAAATGCAGTGGCACCCTTCAACTTCGATATGAGATGTCGTCTTAGTTTAAAGGAGTCTCATCGTGCCCGCTGGGCGGGCAGGCCACACCGCGCAACAGCCCAACACGTGTTGGCCACCTAACCTCCAGGTCCTGGTATCCAAACCAAAGCAGCACATAAATCCTAACCTCACAACCCCAGGTCTGCAACGCTGGAAGCCAATTTCCCAGAAACACCAGGCCCACAAACAGTCAGTCCGTGAGCTCAAAGAAGTGTGCTTCCGTAAGCCTGCAGGATGTGAGCGAGGCACACGCGGTCCTCGTCGCTTCAGGATGGGTTTCCTGCCGCGTAAATCTTGTAGCCGTTTTCATCCGTTTTCCACCTCAGAGCAAAAGGTTTACTAGTGTTGTTATTTTGTTGAGCTCAACCGAAATCGTTTGATCCAATACTTTTGAGATGGTCTCTATGGAACACCTTCTCCGTTGCACTACAATGCGCGGGGGCTGTTTTTGCATGGGGGCACTTGCAGTATGACCTACAACAAACCTGAGTGCTTTGCACTTTGCATGAAGGCTTTCTGCTGGTAACCACAAAAGGAAAACTGGGATCCGCTTTTTGTTTGCAAGTGTGGTTTCTCAAATCCGAGCTCTTCTAGTTCTCGAGTCCTCAGACGTCATTGACACTTTGAGGCCCCAAAGGCTCGTCGGGCCTAGAAAAGGCTCCTCGTTCTTGTTCGCCAGGAGGGCTGGAAGCGAACCAGGACCAGGCCGCGAAGCGTATAACCTTGCAAGTCTATGTTGATTGAATGGGTGTGCGACAGTGTTCCGAGCCTGTGTTGGTTAAATTTCTCGCGCGAGTTGCCCGGACAGTCTGGAGGGGTGGGGAATCCTGTGAGACACACCTCTGCTGGCAAAAGTGCCCGCATGTCGTTGGCTGCCCCTGGGCGCGGTGATTCGCAACTCCATTCCTCCCCACCCATGCACAACAACCATACAGCACAACAACAGCCCTTGTCAAACCAAAGCGTTTGTGTGCACCCTCCCAGAACGTGGTTACTGAAACCATAGGTTGTATCCTCATACAGCAGAAATGTTTCTGCCAGGTGAGTTTTCAAGAGAAGCTGCCACGACTTCACAGTGAGAAACCAGCCTTTAAACACCATGTCAGGGGCAAGATTGGCCAGATGCAGTCGAAAAAGGCGAGCAAGAGTCAGACTTAGTATGGACAAAAGAATCGCCACGCGTATGAGTTCGGACTGAAACCAAAGATGTTTGAGGCCCGGTGAGGGCACTACTGCTACGATCGAGGAGGGCACTCCACCTAAAACGTTGGGATGTACTGAATTATCTGGATGACCCGCCACGGTGTTCAAAACCGAGATTATCCAAGGTACGCATTCGCAAGCTTTGCATTGAAAACTTTCGGCCTAAACATCCAAAGCAAAACCAGTGGCCTTGTGTCTGAATGAGGACCACTTCACAGGACTGGATCCTGCTTCTGCGATGTGCATTTAACAGTTACGATCCTCCCCCCCCCCCCCCCCCCCCCCCCCCCGTTTGGGGAAGACATGGGAGACAAACGGGAGGGGCATCATAGCATCCACGGTCTGCGCAGTTTACAACGAGACAAATGGGAGACGCATCGAGACGATTACTCGCTACGCGTTGTCGCATATTCGCTGGTGTGCAAGGGTTTCGAGGATGACCCAGCCGTCTGTCCCATCTTGATGCATCTGAAAGTAAAAGTGTGTGTGTGTGTGTGCACGAGAACACCGCTGGGAGCTGGTACACATGGGGAAGCAACAAACCTTCATCGGATGTGGAGCACGGTCCGTTTTTGTTGATGGCCAAGATGGGCTTGTGGCTTTGGGTGTAAGTGTGCAAGGTCATTGGACATTACGGGATGTTTCTGGACCAGAAGTGTCCAAAACCGATGACCAAGCGGGTTGCCAACGCAATCTGAACCGAAGCGGATTGAACAACTCCATCTTTCCCTGCACATTCAGGACTTCGGAACTTTTAACTGAATCCGGGTTTCAAGGTTACTGCGAGATTTATTGCAATTCAGTGTCGACGCAGCTTCTCGACATGGCCCCAGTTGCATTTTGAAACCCAATGTCACACGTTGTCACAAGATGTCAAACGGTGACTTCCGTGGATTTGAAGTCATCACAAGCTGCAACCAGGCCTCGGCTGCAGCGGCCCTGACAGAGCTTCCACAGGCGCTCACAGAGGCCACACGTAAGTCATGCAAGTCATGCAAGTCATGTAAGTCATGTAAGTCATGTAAGTCATGTTGTATTTCTTCCCTTGAAAATCCTGACTTGTTGCAGCCAGCCTCCTCCGCCTCCTCCCTGACTGAACCAGAGTTCCCTTGAAGATGGGTGCGACCTGCTAGGCACGCAAGGCGAAGAGTCGCTGGGATGCGGAGCAGGACGGGCTGGATAGGAGTTCAAGGGTTTACGGTTTGGAGCTTTGGGGTTTCGCAGTTCGGTTTGGGCGAGTCGGGTTGCGATCAACGTTTAGATTGGCATGTGGCTGGGAAGTTCTCCTTGCTCCTGTTCAGGACCGAGGGTTTTGTTCTGATGTCGCCGATTCTGGGTCGAGATGCGGGAATGGTGGAAGCCAGAAGTCAAGCGAAGTGAAGCCCTTCTGGGTCCAAGTCGCACACCTTAGCCTTGCAGTGCTCTCCGCACAGGAGCGGCTCACGGCGCAAGCTCAGGAGGCGGCGCATCGGGTGACACCGGCGCAGCGCCGACAGGCTGCGTCATTTCCAGAGATACTTTCAATCTTCAGGAGTTTGGGGAGCTTTCTGGTTTGCCATGATGGCAATCCTGGCAATCCCCCCTACATCTGCAAGCCGAAGCCATTTGTGATTCCTACTTTCCTTTTCAGGAGGTCTATTTTCCCCACCTTCGGTGTGGGGTTGTTAGATTTTAAACTCAACTCTTCTCCTCGCCCGGAACTTCTCCTCGCCCGGTCTACTCCTAGAGACTCCCTGGAGTGCCCAACCCCAGAGACTCCCTGGAGTGCCCAACCCCAATAGACTCCCTGAAATGCCCAACCCCAGAGACTCCCTGGAGTGCCAAGCCCAGCCAGAGTCTCCCTGGAGTGCCCAACCCTGGAGTGCCCTGCCCAACCCCAGAGAGTGCCCAACCCCAGAGTCTCCCTGGAATGCCTAACCCCACAGTCTGCCTGGAGTGCCCAACCCCAGCGACTCCCCGGAGTGCCCAAATCCAAATCCCTAAGGTGGGGAAGTTCGAAGAAAAATAGTTTTTGAGGTGACTTTTTTGTTGTCCCCCGGCTCCTCGGTCCTCTGGTCTCCTGGTCTTTTGGTGGTCCTCTGCCCCGGTCCTCTTCTCCCGGTCCCCCGCTGTCTTGGCCCCAATAAAACTCTTGGCCTTCGATTGATGCTGTACCAGACATTTACTGTGCGGAGTTTGTATCATGAAGACTATTGTGTAAGTGCTATTGCACTATTGTTTCCTGTGTGTTCTTGTTGCTGTTACTCTTGTCTCATTACTTCATTAACTCTGAGAATTGCTATCATTACTGCCTTCTGCATTTACATTATGTGTTTATGCCTGTGCATTTGCATTTATATATATATATGTATCTATGTATATGTGTGTAATGTGGCTTCAGTTTTGTTAGAAGGCAACGTATTGTCGATTCTTTAGCTTTGCAGTTTAAAAGTTTTAAACTTGGGTTGCGCTCTACGCATCTGGATTTCTGTTATCGTGCCAGCTCCCCACAGTGGGCATGTTCTTGTGCAACTGCGCGTGGCTTGTGGGCTGCCAACCGCGTGGTGGATCTTGTGCGTGCTGACATGGACATGTCCTTGACTGTTGCTTCCGAAGCTTCTTCATTGGATGACATCTTCATAGCGACTTTCACCTGCGAGAATTGGCTTTCCTTCACCACCAAACATGATCAGGGATGTTTGCAATGTTTGCTTTCGTCGCTGCTCACTGCTTGCGCATGTCTTGTGTCTTTTCTGGGGGATGGTGGGGATGGATGGCCGAATGCTTCATCCGAAAATTCGCGGCAATGCGTCACCAGAAGATTTCAGAAGTATGATCGTGAAAGCAGAAGTAAGTCCCAAGCTTGAAACCGCAAGGCTGCCGAGTGGACGTCCAGCATGTGGGGGCCTTAGCCGCTTAGCCCAGGGTCAAAGAGGCTCAATCAAAAATGTTGAGCCTTGTCATCTTGCAGTTTCGGAAGACTTCTTGGGAGGGTCTAGGCACACAGTCGCAACGCATCCCCTACAAGTCCCGAATCCCCGGTATTCGGATGTCGCTGTGTGGCTGATTTCTTTCAATCATTCGCGGGTTTGGGTCTGGGTGTGCGGGCCCAAGGCCACGACCACATCCTAACGTCCCAAACTGTCAACTGTACGAACCAGGCTGAATCGCACGCCCTCGACACCCTCCGCGCCAGTGCCGGGCTAAGGCAACAACTTGCAAGGGTTTGTCAATCTTTCAAGGTTCCAGGTTGCTGCTTTACTGGGTTAGGACTCCAAGGCCTTCTTGTATGGATCGGTGACTTGAAGTTGATGCGACATAGACCTTGCTGCTGGCTGTCGGATTCCTGAGCCCGCTCCTCAGCTTGGAATTCTATTCAGGGCTGTCGGATTGAAATTCGACAAATAGATAAAGATAGATAGAGCAAAACGTTTCCGAGATTGTGGGCTGGTGCGCCTAGTCTACGGTCGGTGCTGGAGTATGTCGTTTAGGGTTCAAGGTGGACCACCCTAAGGCACTCGTCGTCACCTCCGCCTTCAGGGATACAAGCGCAAACGCCCGCAATCTTGCACTGACAGGAAGCACAGTCTCACGAGAGGCCGTAACAGGCTTCATACACATACAATTTGGGCTTCCACGATGGCTGCCGTTGAGTAGCTCTGCCTTGCAGCAGTGTTGCATCGAATGCGGCTGGCGTGACCTACCTACCTCCTTTACGGTACCATTGCAACAGGTCTGAGTTTGACTACATTGTCTGAGCGCATTGTGCAGTCCCCCGAACACTCGTATAGAGCAGTCGCAAGCGCCCAATGGCCCGAAAGAGCCCACGTCAGACATCATGAACCAATTCCATGCAAAGTTGTCATGGGGACCATCCTATACATCGGGAGGGCCACAACCCAATTCCCGTGATCGGAAACCCTTGGTGACCATGCCCTTTGCCATATATATGTATTTATGGATTCAACGTTCCCTACCTGAACTTGAAGTGCCTCCCCAAACATCCCCGCAGTGTTATTCTTCCACCAGTGCCCTCCAGAACTTCCAAACCCGGAGCCTGAACCCCAAATCCCAAGTGCTGGCAGCTGAGGAGATGATAGGACCCGTCTGTTGGCTCCGTCTGGGTCCGTGCATCCCCTGGCCCAGGGTCATTGGGCAGTGTCTTTCGGTCTTTCGGCCCTAGCCAGGAGTCTCTTAGCACAGCGCGAGTTTCTTCGAGGGTCAGGTATCTTGAGCCAGTTTAAGTGTAGTTGTTGATGGCTCCATGAGCACCTGAAATGATCTGATGTTTGAACGCGCAAAGGGCCGCAGTTGGAGTATTTGCAAAGCAGTTGGAAACCCACCCCAAACTCTGACTTGGCGAAAACAAGCCTTATCTTGGGGCCCATCCTTGTCTTGGGAGCATGTAAGGGTGCTCAAATATCAGTAGAAAGGAGTTGTACAAGATGCTGAGAGTTCGCAAAGAAATGCAACCGATAGTTTTGATAGCACTCTTAATTCGACGAAGCCTCCCAGCTTGCGCGGGCTACCTCTCTGGCTAAGGCCCCCGGCCATGAAACCGGCAGGGTGCTACCTGTTCGGCACCGTGGGCACCGGGAAGAGCACGGAGCCGCAGCTGCAAGGAGAGTATTCTGGCAAGAGCCAAGCAGTACCAGTATACCAGTATGTACGAGTAGCACGCGGCATAAGTCCAGCAAGTGAGGCTTTGACCATTTAACGCTTCTAGGGCTTTTCGTGAGGTCATGGACCTTTTCTGCCTTGGCCTGAGCGCCGACGCGCACAGGATCCGGATCCCGGTCTCTGAGTCATAGCCGGGTGCAGTTTGCGATGAGGTTAATGTTTACGGTGCTGAGACGGTCAGGCACGGAAACGCATGGTACATGAAATCGGAAAGTGTGTGTGCTGGTTGCAATTAGCCCTCTCCTCCATTTTTGAAGAGAGACACTAACTGTCAGGGCTTGAAGCCATGAGCTCCCACCCTTCAATTTCCCAAGTCCCGAAATGTAGAACCCGCGTGTCCCAAGCCCTGGCCCTAGTGTGGCCCTATAGGCCAGTTGCACGCTACTGTAAGAGTGCCCATAAATGGTTGTTCTAGGTATCTCAGACTTCCCACCGCAGCTGGGCTTTGAGAAACTCTCCCTCGAACCCTCTTTTCAGCCCTGCCGAGGCCTGACCACCCTCCAGGGTTGGCGTGTTCGACGGCAGCACTTTCACGAGCCTCCCGCTGAGAGGGGCCATGGCGGAAACATGAACATGCTTGAAAAGGTAGTTGCTGGAGTTCCATTTGAAGTAAACAAAATGAGTAGTTAGTAGCTTCTTGCAATAAAAAAACCCGACGTCCTGCACCCCTCACTCCCCATCTCGGCCTTCAAGCCCACGGCCTCCTTGTGACCCTCCAGAATCCCGAAAGACCCGCAATGCAAATGGGAAGAAGGAAGAACCGCCTTCCACTGTGAGGCTTCTGCTCCAGTTTTCATGAAAAGGTGCTGCTGTGAGTTGAACGCTGTGCGTAAACCGCAGATCTTGAGCACTGAGCCCTACACCCGCAAGAAGGTCATGGTTCAGTCGCACGCACGCACGCTCACTCACTCACTCATCCTCGGAAGTCTGCGCGTCCAATACCTCAATCGTGCTGGGACTTCGCACATGTGCTCGAGTCAAAGACTACCGCACATTCTTCGTAAAGTCTCGTGCAGGAATTTTGCCGGCCAGTTCCGGTACATCCCTCGCCTAATGAGCTTTTAATCGAATGTGAACCTTCGTAATCCCGGCCGAAACAAAGATCCTCAATTGAGAGAGGGTGAAGACCAGGACTGTCGCTTGGCTATCTTGGCTCAAGATCGCTCCGCACTACTGCCTTCGGCACCGACTCAACAGGCCTCACGCCGGTACGTTCCAAGTCAGACTTTCGTTTTGGGGCATCTTGTGCATCCAGAAAGTCAGCATGCTCAAGCGGCAGGGGACCGAATTTCCGCACTAAGAACTCCCGGCAACCACTGGCATCCCTTTGAAGATGACCAACAGCGCGTTCGCGGGTGCAACCTTGCTGGCTGCATGCCTGGCGCTGACAAGACTCCCCGGCGTAATGACGCAACTTTGAATTCAGTCCATGGACCGACCACAGGCGCGAAGCATACTGGGACACTGATCATGGTTCTTCCGTGCCAACGCACGCTAAGCCCATGAGATAGCCTCACCCAACCAAGCATCAACATCCCAGCCGTTTCTGCACGCGTCAATCATCGTCGAAGAAGGAACTGGCTCAACAATGACGGGACACTTGGCCACTTGCATCGCCCATGAAACATCGTCACACATGGCCCGTCGCCATACGATGTTGGACGGATGTAGTGCAAGCATTGACAGGAGGCGCATCTCCCCTACTCAGCCAGACTAGCCAGAACGCATGCAACAGCGATCGCTGCATGCAGACAACTTGCTTGCACCACGCCTTCTCTTCCTACCGAAAGAGTGCAGTCCATGCTCCAACATCGCTTCGAGCGGCCTCAGCAAAGAGCAGCTATCTCGCCCACAACAGACTGACTAGCATCAACAGCTCCTCCCATACTCTTGTAGACGTGTGTGAATGGCATGGTATGATCAAGCGAAGTGTATCCTCGACTTCCAAGCCTCTCTGATTGCCATAGTTTACATCCTGAAGCCCATCGTGGCCATAAGAGCCACGCACTCTGAAGCCCACAAACACCTCGAAAGCCCTTACAACGCCGCACCCCAAAGCCTACAAAGGTTCGCCCTGTGGCTGCATCAGCACCTCCATCGGCTCCGCTCCACAGCTGAGCCGCAGAGCCCCGGCCGGTTGAGGGACCTTTCGGGATCTATTCTGAGGTTTCACACGGGCTCATGGCAGGATGATAGCGGCTGATAGGGGCTAACAGGGGTTGCAGGGAGTTGGAGATGATTGGAGCGTGTGGCTTCGGGCTTGAATGTTTTTGGGCTTCGGATGGGCTTCGAAGGGCGTTTCACTGTTTGGGGTCGAGCCACAGGGTTAGATAAAGTTCAGGCTTAAGGACCAGGGTAGTGTGTGTGTGTGTGTGTGTGTGTGTGTGTGTGTGTGTGTGTGTGTGTGTGTGTGTGTGTGTGTGTGTGTGTGTGTGTGTGTGTGTGTGTGTGTTGTGTGTGTGTGTGTGTGTGTGTGTGTGTGT